ATACCCATCCTTTGAAAAATAAAAATAACGAGTACAAAATGATCTAAAAAGAGTCACATTTACTGGTCATATATAGAAGCTTTAAAATTTATGACTTTTAGCCCATCAAAAGATTAAGATGAAGGGTTGGATTGCGTCCACATGCTGTGGACGCTTGGTTTAGATTGAACCATATTCATCCAAGGGCCACTAATGAATTTCATTTTTTATTTTTTATTTTAAAATTAGATTAATCTGCAATTTTGGTTTTAGGTTTATTTTTATAATTAAGGTTGCATAAAATTAATAAAAAAATTATTTTGAATAAAAAATACATCTTCAGAGATATCTTGATAACTTAAATTATTTTTATTTATTTATATTTATAAAAATACATCTTTACACAAAATTAAAATAAATATTTTATTTAGATAAAAATAAAATACTATACTTATTCTCAGCCGTTAGAGATAACCATATGAGATCTCAATCATTGAAAGGTTGCTTGCGTACATCGGGATACTTTTCCTAAGATGAAATAGGAAGTATTGGTTTTGATGCCGTGCAAGATAGAGAGAGAAATAGAGAGCTTTTGTGAAGTTTCTTTTATAATATTTTTGTGTGCTTTTTTATGCTTGTAAAGGGATGCGGGGTTCTCACCCTTTTCTTTGCAGGGATATTATATATGAGTATTCTGTTTCACAATGGATTCTTCACGTTTTATTGACTTCATAACTTGTACTAACTTTGAAATTCATCTCTCTCTCTCTAACTTCCGAGACCCCATTTTATGTTGTTTTCTTTTACATAGACGAGTTCGATTGCCCACAATAATTACGATAATATATATCCATAAAATGAATCCATCATGATATTTAAGGTTCCTCACTGCTATTGGAATAATAAATTTTTCTGACAATAAAAGTGTAAAAAAATAAAATTATTAATATAAATTTAATAGGATATCTACTATTTGTAGACTTAGGTGGGTTGATAATGTGTGGCACCGATCAAATACAACATATGTTAGGAGATGCGAGTTAGTTCAAGTGGAAAGATTAAAAAGGGGTAGGGCTAAAAGGATGTGGTTAGAAGTAGTCCGAAAAGATATGGGACTTGTGGAAAGACTAAAAAAAGCAAAGGTTAGGCCCAAAATAACGTGGTTGGAAGTAGTTTAAAAAGATACGGGTATTTATGGCCTCACTAAGGATATGACCTTTAATTGAGCGGATTGGAGAACTAAGATTCATGTAGCCGATCTAAATTAATTGAGACAAGGCTAAAATAATGATGATGATCATGATCTACCATTTACTTAAGGTTGGGTATCTGAACGTGAGTCAAAACACCTATTCAAATGCGGACACTTTCAAAAATCCTTATATTGGAATTCAATTTTTACATCCACATAATCTCAACTATAATTATCATGACTTCGAAAAAATAATCTAAAGTTTTATCTTGGGACCATTCACCACCGTTCAAATCTACGTTATTTTATAAGGTGTAAAATCATAAGTCTAAAGTAGAAATATATTAGAGTGACTTTAAAAAATTTGTTAATTCAAAATCCATCACCAAGATAGATTTTTGGAGGACATCATACGAATTTTTCTCTTTGCTTGAAAATGGCTTCAAAGTCTCACCAAGCTAATAGTGAATAAATTGTTAAAAAATTGACAGTGGATAAGCAATTGAAGGGATAATGGATACAATTAGAGGCATTAAGTTAGGATAATGATTTTTTAGATTTTAAATTTGATATACATTAAAGTTATGAGCAACTTTATCATTTGTAGAAATTTTTAACAAACTAATACTTTTGAGTGTGTTTTATGAGAAAATTATCAGAAAATCCCATAAAGTTCTCTATATTTCATATATATGATAAAAACTCCCATAAATACATCCCTACCCATATTTTTCTATTTTTTCATAAATGACATTTTTACTCCCGCCATGGGCTTATTATGTCTATAGCGGTATATTAAACCCCAAATCACTTCCAAAACACCATGGACGTAGCAGGTCCATGACAATGTCATAGAGCCGTGGCAGTTCAGGGGTTCTTGGTACCCCTTTGGCACGCCGCCTCAATGTTTAGGAGACATCAAACCGTCACAAATGTAGCAAGTTTGTGACGGTCTTAAAGCCGAGGCGGTTTGGGGTTCCTGAAACCCCATGGGGATGCCTCCTCAATATTCAAGAAGCGTGAAAACAGTCATAAGCATAGCAAATCCGTGATAGTGTGTGGAGGGTTCTTTAAAACATCTTTCCAACCATTTCCATCATTTTCTCCCTTGTTTTCATGCGGAGGAATATCTAAAGTCAAGAAACAATGCATCGCAAGGGAAGGATCTTGCATCATTGACATGGTCGTAATGCAAGGGGGTGATGTGTACCAAAATGCATTTGCATTGCCCTCATGATAGGTCCGTGGTGGGATAAAAGTGGTACGTATGAAAAAATTTGGGGTTTAATATACTGCGATAGATATTATAGGTCCGTGGTGGGATAAAAGTGGCACATATGAAAAAATTTGGAGAAAATAAATATAGGTGTATTTAACCGGAGATTTTGATATATTTGAAATATAGATAATTTTATAGGATATATCTAATCATTTTTTAAATTTATGTGAACTAATTCAAATTAAAAATTTAGAAGGTGCAGGTTAGTTCAAGTAGAAGAACCAGGATTCGTATAGAATTAATTGGAAAAAAGGTTAAAATGATGATGAATTCAAATTAAAAGTATAGAAGTTTTTGGGTATGGATAGAGTAAATTTTCTGAATTTTTCCCTTGGTTAATAAGTTCAATAATATTATTACAGTGTCAAGTGCTCATTATTTTTTTTATTTTTTTCAAGTTTACACCTAGTTCTATGTTTTAAATATTGAGCCATTTTTTAAAAAACCATTGAACCTTTTTTATTTTTAATTTTACTTTTGTAGGGGTTCCGGTGTCTAGAATATCAAATCAACCTATCTGTAGAGCAATGCCATAATGAAAAAGTTCGATTGCCCTGTACTTTCGGTGGACAGTTCAATGTTACAAATTCAGACCTCCAGGATTACCTCCTTCTTTTTTTTTTTTTTAAGTATAGTACGATACGATGTTTCCGTTAACAAACTGCCACTGCCTACAAAATAGGTGGTTTAAATTTTGGAAATCTGACAGCCCTAAAAGTCAAAAACTGCAAAAAAAAAAACACTTAAGCAAACATGGAAAATAATAATAATTAGGGGTAAGACCTAGTGGTAAAATAAAAAACCACGGGGTAAATTTGATAACTTTACCCAATCCGTTTGTAAAAATATGAAAAAATATATTCTATAATAAGGAAAATTGAAATTAAGATGCAAATAGGTGGTCCATCTAAAAACAATTGAAACTAATAGTTTAAATGTTTTGTCTTAATAGAATTATTATTTTTAATTTTTAAAATTTATTTATTTTTCATATTCATGATCTCTATGGTAGAGATTATGTGTCCTTAAAAATTAGGTAAAAAATCCATCTCAAAATATTTTTTTTTAAGAGGTAACTCATTTCCATATGGACTCATAAAAACAGTGTCCATAATAATAATAATAAGATCTTATGAATTTCTGAGTAAAAGATTAAAAAAAAGATGATAGGGTTATGTATAATGAGAACAATGACCTTTCTCGCAAGGATGTCACAAACACCCAAAACAAATCAATTTTAAATTGGATTGCTTGGGGTATATCATAAATTTTATGTTTTCTTAACTTTACATTTTTTTTAACTTTAAATTTACTTAATAGCACATCACAAACACCCAAAACAATTCAATTTCAAATTGGATAGCTTGAGGGTAAATTCAATATTTTTTCTTACTTTAAACGTAGTCAATAATACATATGACTTTTTTATTTGAAATCAATAATACATCTGACTTTCTGATTTGAAATCACACTGCCAAGAGTGATTATAACCTTTATATGCATTGAGGTAAAGGAAAATTGTTTTATGCAGGCTGCCGCATTTCTACATATGCGGTTTAGAAAGTGTAAACCATCCATCTTAAAGATGGGTGCAGTTGGCATACGGATGCTTCCGTAGCTGTAGAGGTAAGGTGCACTTTCAAATCTTCTCATGATATATAATTTTGATGTAAAATGTTCTCAGGATTATCTCAAAATCTATTTTTATATCTAATTATAAAATTTTAAATTTTAAAAATAGTTGAAATCAAGTAGATCTATAAACATATAAAAATCTTGAAAATGGACGGTGTAGATAATATGTTGTAAAATGCACTATTTCTGATGCTTAAAATCTTTTTATTTTTCATGGTCATACATCTCGATATCGAGATGATCAATCAAAGGGTTTTTCAACATCAAAACTATATTTTCTGATGGATTTTTGAGGTACATTAGTTCTACATTATAAGGTTGCATCCTTGTATAAACTTTTTCCCTTAAAGATAAAGATATGTGCAATTAAATGTTCCATCTACAAACAATCGAAACTAGCAATCCAAATGTTTTTTTATTAGAAATACTATTTTTAATTTTTAAAATTTATTTACTTTTCCATATTCATGATCTCCAAGTTAGAGATTACATATCTATAAAAATTAAGTCTTAAAATCCATCTCAAAAATAGATTTATCAAGAGGCCCGATTTCTACATACGCGGGCTTGGCCGCATAGAAACTGAGTCCCTGAGTAAATATTCTTTGTACCCTGTTTTTATGCAGGGGGTAATAATCCCTGTAGCGTATTCATCACTACGTACAAACCCTTCAAATTTCGTTTATTCCTCTCTCTATCTCATACACACATTTCGTCCACACCCATCAAACCCCTTTTTCTCCCTGTTGTTTTCCAACCCTTTAATTTCTCTCCCCATATTTAGAAAGCTGATTTTCACTCACTGATTCTTTATTCTTATCACCCAAAACTCTGGGTTTGAACTCTGATTTCTGATGGCTTTTCCATGGAACTTCTCATTCTACCTAGCAAGCATGTTGGTGGTGTGGGATGTTTTGAAGAGTTGGATTTCAATCTGTATCTCTGCAGCCTCTGAGATTGCCAGGGCTCTCAGAACAGGGGATATTGGCCCGTTCCATGTTGGGTGAATACGGTCCCTTTGCATGTGACTTCTCTCTCTCTCTCTCTCTCTCTCTCTCATATCTTGTAGTTAGTTAGTCGGTCGTTCTATCTATCTGTCTTATTAGTAACGTAATTAGGTTACTATTTACTTTTTATTTTTAGTTTATTGTATTGTATTCAATTAATT